GGTTGACTCGCTCGTTGTCGCTGTAACAAGGTGAGTCGCCCGGCTACCACCATCTCCCCCGAACGTGTGTGTCACTGTGCATCGTCGCCGTGTCCACACACGCCATGTCGTCCTTTCTTCAGTTCCACTTCATCTTGCATCCATATCAGTCCAAGTCCCATCAGCCTCTGCATTCTCTGCACATACGCATTTGCACGTGCCTCGTTGCCTCGTCTTACCACGTTGAAGTATGCCCTTAGTCTAGTTCATCGTATCCAGCATAGTCAGTTTAGGTTAGTCTTTTGTCGTCTTTCTTTCCAATGATCACTTTTCAGTTTTGCCTCCTCTCGACCAACGGGTCTTGTGCAAGGCTTTTTCGCTTCCTCATTACGCGCAGTAGCAGTGTCCAACGGAGACGTCCAAGGCCACTCGTTACATTTGGTAGCACTTGTTCACATCGATCATGCCGCCTACCACCTCTGCGACTACGCCGCCGTCAAACCGCGCCGTTGCCGCCGCTTTTGTGTCGTCGCCGCCGTGCGACGATGACGCTGCCGTTGCTCCGCAGGACCAGCAGCCGAACAACGATCCCGACGTCGCGACGCCGGACGATCGTGATGCTTCTCATGACGCCGCCGCCGGGGTATCATGATGGAGGCCGATGCCACGCTTGAGCGCACCGCTGCCGCGGACGACTCGACGATGGCCGAACCCAACCTTGACGGACGCACCATGAAAATGGGCCACGGCAAGAGTTTTAGCGCTTTGGAGCCGCACGGATGCACGGATACCGGCGACGTGACGGACAACCAGGTCGAGCCTATGTACAAGGGGCCTGAAGAGAAGGGTGCGCTCACACCGCCGACCCTCCTTGATACGAAGCACCAGCTGCACGCACCCACGCAGCCGGTCTCTTCGTCGTATTTCTGGTCGTCTAGTTGAGGTGCTTTCGACGTTTCTGCCGCTCCGCGATGAGGACAGCGCGTCGTCGAAGCTTTCGCGCTTCTTGATCGTCTCTGTCGGTGTTTGGTCGCGATGGGTTTTGATCGCGTGTGCCCTGCGCTCGCTGTCATGGCACTGCTTCTGCAGATCCTT